GTATATGTATATGTATATGTATATGTATATGTATATGTATATGTATATGTATATGTATATGTATATGTATATGTATATGTATATGTATATGTATATGGTTGGGTTGTGGTGAGAAGGAGTGTCAAGGTGAAAAGTGTAAGAAGAAATCCTCACTCTTGGATACACATTAGGATGAGATGCATCGGATCAATCTTCATATCAAGTGTGATTCATGAGTGAGTTTGATATTAAAGGTGATAAAGGTCTAGATCCCTTCTTACGCTTCTCACTTTAACTTTTCTTCTCACATGATCCTTCACCTATATATATATATATATATAAAGATGTTCATTTGAGAAGTGGTAAGTATTTGAGAAGTAAATAATTGATCCTAACACTTCACACGGTCAAGATTGGTCAAGAATTGAGGCTTTGCCTTGTCAAGATTTGCGTCTTTGACTGTTAATAAAAAATAGAGGGGCAAATAGGCAGCAAAGAAGTGGATATGTCAACCCATAAGTGCATATATGAACCCATAGTTCATATGTGAATTAGGTAAGTAGTTCATATGTGAATCAGTAAAATTGTTCATATGTGAATTACACGGGTTCAAATGTGAATCAATTAATTGGTTCATATGTAAATCACATGGGTTCATATGTGAATCAGTTAATTAGTTCATATGTGAATCACACAAGTTCATATATGAATCAGTTAAATAGTTTAAACATGAATTACACAAGTTCACATATAAATATATAGTTCAAATGTGAATCACACGGCTTAACATATGCACTTGTTTTGCGGCCTATTTGTAAAATTTATGAAACTACCCCTTTATCTTCTGCATACCATCAAGAAATTACCTGTGCTTCACAGTCAAAGCCACACATCTTAACCAGATGAAAGGCTATGATCACTTCTCTACTTCTCAAATACTTACCACTTCTCAAATGAACCTTTGACTATATATATATATATAAGTGAAGGATCGTGTGAGAAGGAGAGTTAAGATGAGAAATGTAAGAAGGGATCTTAACCCTTGATCACCTTTAATCTCAAACCCACCCACGAACCACGCTTGATATGAGGATTAATCTGGTGCATCTCGGTGCATTTCATCCTTATGTGCATCTAAGGGTGGAGAACCCTTCTTACGTTTCTCACCTTAACCCAACCCTATATATACATACATATATATATATATATATATATATATATATATATAGAGAGAGAGAGAGACTTGGGATCATGTGAGAGCATTATGTTTTCATGAGACCCATGAGATTGCATAAATAACACTAAACCTTCAGAGCAAAGCACTGTGAAGGTAACCTTCACAAAGTTTTTGTTGTGAAGGTTCAGTGTGTTTTTCTACTTTCACAAAAGGAGACAAGAGAGGATTGCTGGCGATGACTTGGTGACTCTAGAATGGTAGTTGCTTAGTGCGACATCACAAGTTTCGGTATAATTTTGCGGTCTTTTGGTCTAAACAACATATCGATCTCACGTGAACCCAACCATATATAGGGTATATTTCAAATACAGCCCACCCTATTCTTGCAACCAATACAACCCTTTTCCAACCAATCAATGAATTTTTTTTAAATTGAAAAGGTTAAATATGTCATTTAAAACATTTAGATTATTATAAATATTTTTAATTAAAAATAAATGATATTCTATTTATGGTGATTCATTCATCAGTTATGGAAAATGAATAATAAATTAAACAAAATGATTTTGCACCTGTTTGTTGATTATCTCATTACCGTTTCATAACTAGAACAATGGTGGTCAATTTCATAAGATTGGAATTGAATAGTTTTATAGTTTCTTCAGTAGCTTTATAGAACCCAGTATTAAAATTATGGATTATATGTCATTTAACGAGACTTTCAGTAAGGATATCGTCGAAGAAAGCAGTGTTTTCGATTCCATGAACGACTGTCAAGGTTTTGATTATGGTGGTGAAAATGCAACCGCAGTTAATGATGAAACAATAGAAGATCAATGCAATTATTCAATGAGGAATGAAGATGGCTGTAACGATCGAAACGAAACATTATGTGAGCACAACGACGGAGTTTTTGTAGATTTTGTCGATGATGATGTTGCATCGTTGAGTAATGAATCTGAAGGTATTGATTTCCTTTCATTGTTGTAGGTTGACTTTGATAATTCACAACAATCGATGATAATGTTATTGATGCACACCTCTTGACTTTGTTATTTTTGCTGCTGTTTACAAGAATGTAAAGAATTAATGTTGCTGTTTAATCAAAACTGTTTCAGAAGTGTATATGTTAATGAAACGTGTTTCAGTAATGTAAAAGAACATGATTTGAAGAGTGATTATCACATTTTAAATTATATATACGATAATGAATCATGTTTCATACGAAAGGATTTCATAAACGGGTGTTTTACATGCTTTTTTTATAAGCACTGTAACAATTTGATAATGAACCTAGATTGAATGTAACAGGCTGTTAATGAACCTATATGTGTATGCAATGTAAGATGTTGTTTGGTATGGTGAATCATGTTTATAAATTATATATACGATATATTCTCCTAGAGTATGTTTATGAAACCATGTTGTTTGGTATGGTGAATCATGTTTCATAAAACCATGTTGTTTGGTATGCTGGGAGATTCTGGTTGCTTAAAGGGTTGTTTTTTTTACTGTGACATGATTCAATTTCTTACCATATTACATTGCTTCATGTTGTTCTTGTTAGATTGCAAATGCAACACATTGCATTACGTAACAAGACAAATTCGTTACTGTAAAGAACATATTGTAATATTGAAATGCCGGTTATTGTTTATGAAATTTTAGTATTGAAAAAGTTTTGATTTGTTTGATTTTGTAGAATATCGATTTGATGGCATGGGGGAAACGAGCGATGGGTCGAAATGTTGGTTTCCCAATATAGACTCAAAACATAAGCCGAAGGTTGGTGATGGTTTTGAGACCGTAGAATCGGCTGAGAAAATGTACCAGAAGTATGCTAATGAAGCTGGGTTTGATGTACGTTTATCTAACAAGAAGATAAATAAGATTGGTCGTATCACGTCTCGATTTTATGTGTGTAGTAAGAAAGGAAGGCCACCAAGTAAGTATTTTGATTCCTTAGATGTTCTTCCAGGTGATCGCAGGATCCGCAACTCAAATGTAAAGTGTTCCGGTTGTGGAGCATGTTTCAAGATTCATTATGTTAAAGAACGGAGACTGTATGAAGTTTACAAATTTATTGAGCAACACAATCACATGCTTTTTAATAAGGAGGAGATGAGGTTTTCACGTTCGAAAAGACAACTACATTACGGTGATCACAAAAATGTATTTCATGGTTCTAGTTCGAAGGTTGGTGTCACCAAATCTCATAGATTTAGGGCAATTACAGGTGATGTAGATTGCTCGGGTGGCACCGTAAGAGATCATCAAAACTGCAAACGCGATATGGCTTATTTTGTTGGCAATGAAGAAGCGCAAATGTTGTTAAATGTGATGTCTAATAGGAGGAAGGTGTGTCCTGAGTTTATTTCGAGTACAAGTGTGATGATAAGGAGTTGTTAGCGATTTTCTGGGCTGATGAAACTGCACGATCGAATTATCGGGAATTTGGTGATGCAATATCATTTGATGCAACATTTAGGATGAATAAGTAAGTTACAATTGATATGAATCTATTTGTTTGTGTTATCTATATCACCTATTATAACTTGTATTAATTTATAATGTTTAATTTTAATAGGCATGCAATGATATTTGTTCTGTTTGTTGCAATTGATAATCATAAGAAATCTGTCGTTGTTGGAGCTACGTTGATTCACAATGAATCTGTGGTTGATTACACTTGGGTATTAAAAGCTTTTGTAAAAGCTGATGGACGTCAACCACGTTTTGTGATCACTGACCAATGTGCATCGATGAAACAAGCAATTCTCATTGCATTTCCTGAATCCAAGCATCGTTTATGTATGTGGCATATCACTAAAAAGCTCAAATCTAAGGTAATTACGATGAAACTTTTTTGTTTTCGTTTTTTTTTTTCATTTTTTCAAGTTTCCTTCTAATTGTGTATGTGGCAGATCAGTAATTACCTCCAACATCGTAGGCCGTTTGTTAGCTAATTTAATAAGTTAGTGTAGAATGTTCACCTTGCCCCTGATGAATTTGAGATGAAATGGAACAACATGATGGATTTGTATGGATTACGTGGAGACTCATGGTTTGATGAACTGTATGAGATTAGGGAGTCATGGATTCCGGCTTATTATAAGGATTATCATATGTCCGGTCTAATGAAAACAACATCCAGGTCGGAGAGTATTAATGCTTTTTTTTTTTATAATGTTTATGCATATTTTTGGCATGATCTTGTCATTTTTCTTCGTTCTTTTGATAATGCAATTAAAAGCCAATGGACGACACATGGGTTGCTAGAGGTGACAACGAAGAGCACGGTTCCTCGATTGGTGTCTCCTTGCAAATTAGAAGCTTATGCAGTAGAAGTATATACACGGACGATATTTTTTGAAGTTCAGAAAAAGTTAAGAAAGGCTGTTTAGCTTTGTGGATGGGATGGATTCACTGACGTTGGTGAAACCCGAGTGTACACCATAACACACAAGAACAAAGCTTCTAAGATCACCACAAAGTAGACGGTAATTATTTCTTAATTTTCCAATTTTGCCAAACAGTTCAAATAGTAGAATCCTTAATGCAACTTCCTAATATGATCTGGTTTCTCATTTGATAGGTTGTCAAGAACAAGATGGAAAACTCGTATGAATGCTCATGTAACTGTTTTGTTCGTAACGGGATTTTATGTCGTCATGCTCTCAAGGTAATGTTAAATGACGAGGTTGATAGGATTCCATATAGGTATATACTTCGTCATTGGAGACGCGATCTAGTCCCAGTGGAGTGGTTACCAGCACGTTTCAGATATGGGGAAGTTGATGCTGATAAGGAGAGCTTGATGAGTGTTGCTTATTCGTATTTTGAACGTATTCTAGGTCGAGTGCAAAAAGAGAAACATATTTTGTCAAAATTTGTTGACCAACTTCAAGAATGGGATACAAAGATTGATAGTGAACTTCCTCTACAGTCACACACTCAAGAGACAACAACATCTATTAAAGAGTTTCTTGGAGTATCTCAACCCGAAAATATTGATGTTCTACCTCCAACCGGCATACGGAATAAAGGTTGTGGGACTAGTAAGAGACTTATTAGCGCTGCCTAGAAAGCAATTACGAATGGCAAAAAGCAGAAGAGAAAGTGTCGGTTATGTCGTCAAATGGCTACACATGATTCGAGGAATTTTCCAAAACGTGATTCCACTTAAATTATGCCTTTTAATTTTTGGTGACATTTCATTTCAACACGTTATAGGATTATATTATTGTGTTTTAGTTAAATGTACTACATTGTTTAAACTGGTTTCATCAAATTATTAGTGAATCTCTAATTTTTTAATAAAGTTGAATATGCTTTCATTTTACCGGTTGAAATAGGTGTAAAAAGCTAAGTGGGTACATATGATTATGATGAAAATAGGTACATATTATTCTTATTGTCAATCTAGAATCACCACATGTTATAATCATCGAATATTGATCATTATGTTTTGCATTATTTCTACATGCATCAAGAAAATTTTGATCTAGTTATGATTTCATTTTACCCTTTTGTGTAGTTGGAAAAAGTTATGTGGGTACATAAGATTCTGATGAATATGGGTTCATCTCTATGTGTTAGTCACGCTTCATAACAGATTGTGAATCTATAATAATCATGTACTTTTGGATGTATATGGTTTGCATTATATTCAGTATGAATCAAGTTTCATTAACAAAAAAGGTTATCATCAATGGAAAATCATGATTTCATTTTTACCTTTTTGTGTAGTTGAACAAAGTTATATGGATACATCTAAATCTTATGAAAATGGGTTCATCAAAGTGCTTATTTGAATATGTTATTCAAGATTCTGAATCTATATGGTTTGCATTATTACTAAATAAACAAGTTTAATTAACAGGTGTGTTAATCTGGGTTCAACATTCATATGACAATGTGATATTTTCATCAAATGTCATATACATTTCATAACGTCGAACATGCCAATAGCATAATGTTTAAACAATCTAGAAAATTCAATACCAAAAGCAAGTTATTAAAACCGTCTACATGAGAAAAATATAAAAGAACATCAATCAATCAGATTCGAAGTCTCTCAGTCTTTGTATCGTCAGCATGTTTTCTTAACTTTTTTCAGATGGCTTCATACATTGATTAAAACTTCTCAACTTCCTTAACGACATATTCCTTCTTGTTGTAGTTGCTCACCAATAATTTTGCTACATATTTCATCATGAGGGAGGCTATTTGGATCTCTAGTGTTTTTCCTTCTTGTGCCAAGCCAGTTTTCCATGTTTGCACATCTCCCATGTACGTCTCCATGTGTCTCATTGCAAACACGCCAAAATCATCGAAGTTGTTTTGTTGTCTGCCAATCCATCCTCAACCTTTCTTGGCCTATTTCATCTAGTTCTCTCCCCGCTGGATGTCCAACCGCATTCAAATGCCTTATCATCAATCTTTTTTGCACAAACGGAATGAAATGGTTAATACATCGTATATCATATTAATAAAGAATACAATTATACATTAATATTTTATTCATACCAGAATGTCTGTAATGAAGTCATACATCTGTAGAAGTTGATCATCATCGGACACCGCTCGATATCTGTTGTCTATGACAACAATCGACAAGTTCTTCAGGTTGAACACCACAAGATAATAGTGTCCCTTATCCAGTAATGGGAAGAATACCTATCATTTCATCAAGTTGTCAATGTCAAAATCTGTTGACGATAGTAATTCATATAACCTGTTACAGTAGCATTTTATGAACCCATTTTCAATAGCTATGTGGCATTTTTAAAATGTTACAGGAGTATAATCCTGTTAAGGATACCTGTTTCACCAAATGTAACACCTGTTTCACCAAGTTACACTGTTGTTACTGTTACATTGCTGTTACTGTTACATTGTTGTTACTGTGCTGTTAAATGTTACATTGCTGTTACAAGCATTTAGGTTCATTAACAGCATTTACATTGTTGTTACTGTGCATATAAAACAACATGTAACATGTTGTGCATTTAGGTTCATTAGAAGCATGTTATTGTGCATATAAAACACCTATTTCACCAAGTTACAGTGCATTTAGGTTCATTAGATGCATGTCACTATGCAAATAAAACAACATATAACATGCTTTTATTGGATGCATGTCATTAAGATGCAACATGGGTTCACTGCATTATGGACAACATGTAAATGGACATCATCTTGCTTCATTGGTGGTTTCATAATCCACCTGTTTAATTTTTTTGATTGGTGGTTTCATAGTCCACCTGTTTAAATAGACTAAATAACAGTATCTCTTTTTATCCAAGATAGATGCCATTAGCAAAGCCCTATCATTAAAAGAATTATTCTTGGTGAAATGGACCTCCTGAAACTGGAAAGACAACAACCGTGGGGGAAATTATCCTTCAAGAAGTGAACCTTGGATTAGAGTTTCTTTCTTGTGCAGCCTCTTATATTGTTGTAGATACATTGCACTTAGGTTCATTAACAGGTTGTTACATTGCATTGCAATTAGGTTCATTAACAGGTTGTTCATTAACAGGTTCATTAACAGGTTGTTCATTAACAGGTTCATTAACAGGTTGTTCATAAACAAGGATCCTCGAACCTATAGTTAATGTATATCAATGTTTCATTAACAGGTTGTTACATTGCATTGCACTTAGGTTCATTAATAGGTTGTTCATTAACAGGTTGTTCATAAACAAGGTTGTTCATTAACAGGTTGTTACATTGCATTGCACTTAGGTTCATTAACAGGTTCTTCATTAACATGTTCATTAACATGTTGTTCATAAACAAGGATCCTCGAACCTATAGTTAATGTATATCAATGTTTTATATGTGGGAATAGACAACACAATTACACAGTTTTTATACAAACCATCTTACCATATAGTCAAAATAATAATGCATCTTGCTTCATTGTGATGCTAAATTTCACTAATATGTGTTAACCAAATTCAAATTAAATTACGGCTGGTTTGTGTAATTGCACACTTGAACATTTTTATAACTGTTTTAACCAAGCTAACTAAATGATATAAAAATTTAGTGAAACAATCTCATAAGCAGTAGCAAGATAAATGACATATAGCAAATACAGTGAAACCAGGTTGTCAAGTCAGGAAGTTTCATTAGTAACTACTTAGTTGTATTTTCATAAAGATTTGTTAGGTCAATAAATTGGGGTGATGAACACTACGGGTGATATTAAACCTTCACTAACCTTTGACATTTGTTGAATATGTTTCTTCATGTAGTGGAATGCTTGGTTGAGCATTTTGACATGCTTCTGGGTTCATTGAAACAGGGTCTTCTTCTTCATCAAGAACAATTGGATTGTCAGCGGTGTTCTGGAACTTAGAGAATGAATTATTCATCATTATTTGCTCGCTTCTTTTCCTTACTGATTCATATACATAACGCACCATAAGGTTATATCAAAACATTATACTATTTTCATTCAACGAAGTCTCTTACCTCGATTTGCTGCAATGAATACACCATGATGAAGTTCGTCTGCCATAGCTTCTTACCCATAATCGATTTCTTTCACTGAATCACGGTGTTAGCATATGATTTAGAGTGATTATCGCATTCTTGATTTCCTAGTATCGTTACTTAGAATAGACTGATTTTTCCCCTTACAATTTTTTCCTTCATTGCCCTCAAAGAATCAGGCGTGTGTATCAAAATATCTAATTTATTACAACTTTGTCATCAAATGCATCTTGACCTTAGAGTAAAAATTGGATGGCAGAGATGATGGTTGTATTGGGTGTAAGAATTGCAAAGGTTGTATTTTAACCTCCCTCACCATATATATATATATATATACACACACACACACACACATTGTAATGTTAACTTTTATCCCGATTATAATATTTTAGGTTTCACTCTTTTATTTGAGTTGGCGATTTTCAGTTACGACTTTGAAAACATTTTATAAGAATGATTTTGGTTAGGTGAAGTTCATTTTTTTTGTCATTCTGGAACATTTTTGTTATTTTAATCTATTGGATTTATAAATCAGTTTTGTGAAATCAGACTGAACTTTTCATTTCATAGAAGTTTTATAAAATCAAACTAAACTTTTCACATCATAACGGTTTTATGAAATCAAATTGAACCTTTTATTTTGTTAAATCAAATTGAACTTCTTATATTATATCAGTATTGTGAAACCAATTTTAACTTTTCATTCTTATGTTATAAAGAATTTATAAGACTTGTTGACATGTCCTTCTTAGTTTTCGACCGACGGTTTTGACCACGATATATATCAAGAAATCCCAAATTTGCAATAAAATTTAGAATAGTTTCACTCAAATTTTGAGTTTTATATTTAATGTTTTTTAACCACATTTATGACTAATTTTCTTCATAGAAAAAATATTTTTAATATGTTATATAACTATTTAATTATATAATATATTTTTAAATATCGAGAAAAATTATGATTAAATAAATAAATTTAAGGGAAATTAATTAAAGTAGTTATTCCAGGCTTCTAATTCATCTTTTAACCATTTTTTTGCTTCATTGACATAAATGTCACTATCTCCGCAAGTGGTACATCCATGACTTTCTACCAGGTTCGGAAGTGCCACATCTGTGACTTGCGGATCCATTCAAGATCCAAAAAATTTACACTTTCGGTCCCTCCGCAAGTAACACCTTCATGACTTGCGGAGGTGCTAGATGTCAGCATCGGATCCATGCTCTTAAAGAATATATATTCAGTAGGTAGGTTTGCAATTAAAGCTATCCACCCCACCTACCAAATTTAATTCGGTAGGTGGAGGTTTCCCCCATTAATAGTTTTAGATTAAAAAAGTGGAGGGACCACTCATATGTACACGTAATCATTTTCTCTACAAGTAAAGATCCTCTTCATAAGTAAAATTCTTCGCACAAGAAAAATTCTTTTCGCAAGTAAAATTTTATTCGCAAGTTGATCTGTAGCCATAATAACACCGCAAGTAGTTATCAATGACCGATCAAGTAAGTTTTCCCTATCCTAAGTAAGCTTTTAAGATTTTGTTAACCATTTTTTCGTACGAATGCATGTTATAC